GCAATAGTGCATACAATTTAATCATATTGTTTTTATTCTGAAATACGCTTTATCCCTTGAGTTTTTCACATAAAGAAATGGCCCAGAGATTACAAGATGTGGCATTGGCATCAGAATCCAGTCCAGTGTTTTCAGTTACACCATGTGACTTCCCATGAACACATTTCATTTGAAACCTTAAGGTGTAAGATTCTCAAAAGGGCACAGAAGCGATTGTAGGTCATTTGTGCAAAATTTAAAAGTAAACGATTTTCTCGTAAAAGAATTGGTAATAAATTTTACTCCCAAAAAGTTATTTTAGAAGCCAAATTTTTGCAATATCGAGCTTATAATAGGATGACTTAAGTTTTAGCTATTCATACTATTTTTGAAAAAGCAAGTTCTCCTCAGCTAAGACACTATATACTAAATAACAAGAGAGCAGGTAGTTCTGTTGTTGGGTAAAAGGCTATTAAATTATTTAGATGCTAAATGCAATATGCTTTATGCAATTAAGAAGGAGGAGGTGATACTCAGGTTAATTGAGAGGTTTCTGGTACTTATATTACCATATATTGAGCTCTATGTGTATGCCAGGTAGTGGACCAAGTACTTCATATACTCCATCTCATTTAACCCTTACTACCCTGCTCCATACCCTCTTTACAACTGAGAAGAACAGAGTTGTCTGAGAACAGAGTACCAGACAAAATAGCAGGAGAGTTACTTGCCAGGTCTAATCTCCATGTTTGAATAATGCCTTCACTTCTTTTACTTTTAAAGCCCGTTCTTCTGAGAAGAGCCAGAACCAGGTCAGGGTCACACTTCCAGCAGGGGGCCCTCATGTATTCTCCAGAATCCATGAACTTTAGCGTTTATGCCTCCTTCGGCACATATAGTGAGTAATAAAGCAGTTCCCAAATTTTCTGCTTTGGGATCGCAGTACCTTTCACAGGATGACACAAGGATGGTTGTCCAATTATACCATTTCTTGAATGACGTTTATGATAATCTCTTAAAGGTATGTTGTTTTGTTTAATTAACTTAGTATATCTATTAAGATTTTTTTGAGTTTTGTTTTGCTATTGAGAAACGGCTAAGTTGCATTGTGGTTAAGAGCAAGTTCTGCAGCTAGCGTGCCTGGGTTTATAATCCTACTTTGCCTCTTAACTTGACCCTAAGCCAGTGACGTAGCTTTCTGTCTTGGTTTCCTCATTTATAAAACTAGAATAATAGTACATACTTCATACAGGGTTGTTAGGAGCATTAAATGAAGTAATAATAGATGTCAAGTGCTTAGAACAGAGCCTGGCACACAATAAGAGCTATATATAGGTAATGATAATAAATATAAGAAAACATTAATAGATAACATATAGTACAATAATATATATTTAGCTTTTTTTTGTTATATAGCGTTTTTACAATTATATCCAGGTGCCAGATTGTATTAATGAATTGGGGCCACTCTAGAAGTTTCTTCTTGATAAGTGTTTCTTAGTAAGAATTAGATATCTTAAGTATAATCAGTATTTTTCAATTATTTTTAATCCAGAGAAAAGGGCTTGATATTTGGTTCTTTCTCTCGTATTTTTAGGTATCTGATGTGTAGCCATGCAGAAGACCTACGTGCAAAAGCAGAATGGGAAGGCAAAGGAACAGCTTCCCGATCTAAACTGCTGGACAAACTTCAGAGTAAGAGTCTTAATTTTTGGTGTTTCTATGTTTGCTCTTAGATTAGAAGTAGATGCTTTGGGCGGGGAATAGATGTTATGAATCAATTAGGAAGACTTGTGTCTAGACGTACTCTTATTGAGTGGTTATTTAGGGAAAGGTTGTGGGGAAATCCATTAAGAGACCCTTTAAGCTAGAGGTTTTCAAACTCTGCCATGGAATCTAAGAAGCTAACCTCAGGAGTCAGTGAGAGGGTGCTGGTCCCAGAGCAGTTCCCCTTTCATTCGTTATATGGAGTGATGCGCTAAGATTTTGTTTGGGGGCAAAGTGCTGTGGTTAGAGGAAAAATATGTAAACCACAGCTTTAAACCATGAGTGTTTTAAAAATATTTTGTTTTCAATAATAAGGCCCAGATTTCTTAGATAAATTGTTTTATTCTCCCCGTATATGTTCTGTAACTTCCCAGTGAGAATAAGGGTTTCATTTTTGCCACATTTTTATATAAAAGGTCGTCTTTCCCACCCTGGTAAAATCATGTTATTCTCTATATTTCATGTTTTGTGTTGAGCTGGGAACAGAGATCATAAGAATCAGAAAACCAAGTGATTGAGGAGATAGAAGGCATTAAAGGATCGGAATAGCTTGGTATCAGTATCAAAACACCAATTATTCCCTGAATTTTCATTTGTCATTAGAAATAGTTTGGTGGGGCCTGGAATTTTCCTTGTTCCAGGATTTTGACCTGTTCTCTGTTAACTGGAGGTTTTTCTTGTACTTTGAGTGACGCATAGGCTCCCTTTGTTACACATCTTGTTTAATTTTGTTTTCATTGTCCACCTTTTTATTTTTTGATTTTTTGTTTATTTTTTAGAAAATCCACAAATTAAAGCCCTCCTGTTCAAGTATCTTCCATTCTAGTGGCAACACATCTGTAGCTGCAGAAAAATAAATATTAATAAAGCTCACGTGTTACATCGCCCAGAACTACTCTGTTTAAGGGACAATATTATTAGGGTGAGGGCAAGTGCAGCGGAAAATCAGCAAGTGTCTTAAGTAAAAGTTTGTCCTGTTTTGTTTTGTTTTGTTTTTAACTTTAATTTTTATTTCTCTTTTTAAAACTATCTTCTATTAAAGCCTATTTACCACCATCGGTGATGCTTCCCCCACGGCGTTTACAGACTCTCCTGCGGCAGGCGGTGGAACTACAGAGGGATCGGTGCCTATATCACAATACCAAACTTGATAATAACCTAGATTCTGTGTCCCTGCTTATAGATCATGTTTGTAGTAGGTAAGAGGAAAACTTAAATTCTGAAGTAGTCTAACATTTTGCAGGCTCAATTTGAACTTTACTAAAATGTTTTCTCTTTTAGTTTTATCCTACAGCTATAAAACAATTCATATCTGATTTAGCATTTGTTCATAAGTAAAGCTAAAACTACTGAAGTTGAAAATGAAGAGAAATTTGTGTTTCTGTGTAGAGTAAGCCACCCTTGAGAACTGAAGCTGGAATTCAAGTTTTCTTTTTCTTATCTATGAGTTTGGTTGGTCATTTTCTGTATCTGGCCATTTTTTAAGGACTCATAAGGGATATTGTATGGAAATGCCAGGGATCCAAGTACTTGGTGTCCTTGAATATCACAGATCACTTAGTGACTCTTTTCTGGACATAATGGGTATTTTAACTATGGCCCAAATTATTTTCTGCCCATAAAGATTATGAAAATATTTTATCCTAATGCAAGTTCTGCTAAAAATTGTTAGAATAACAGATATTAACTTTCCAGTTTAGGTTTTGTTTTTGTACCTACCTGTGTACATTGTTTAACCTGTAAGAATTAAGGCTTCACTTTTGATGTTAGGAGTATTTTGAGTAAAAATGTCCCTGCTATTTTAACAAACTTCAAAATGACGACAGAGCTTTAATTTTTAAGATACTGAAAAAAACAAATTGTGAAATCTTTCAAACTCCAGGAAGGAAATGATTTGGGTCTGGAGAACCAAATAGGAACAGCTGCAGTGCATGTGGCCCGTTTCTTCTGCCAGACATCGTCGAAGAACCACTGAAAAAAGCATGACTAGGAAGGACAGAAGCACATGAGTGTGAGGGCTTTGGGAGAACGAGGAACTTTGGAATAACTTAAAATAACACATGCGCACTGTGGGTTATGATAGTTCTTTAGGTGTGCATAAGTTTCACGCGTAGGTGAGTCCTCACCTCGTTTGCCCTAGTTGCAATAAATAATAATAATTTACTTGAGCTATTGGTTTTACATTTCAGGTGTTATGTATCTTAAAGTGCTAGGTAATTAAAGATCCTTTCCCTTTACCCTTTTTTATTCTATAACATGATTCTTGGACTTGGTAAGTCTTTTCATTTAAATCAAATAGAGGTAGGAGGAGACAATATATTAAAAGGCTTTATGGTTTCTTATTTCATAGCTCCTTTAGGGAATTTGAGACCAGTGTGAAAATTAAGGCAGTTGTGAACCCAAATCTTTTTTTGGTTCTTGAATTCATTGTTGATGAAATACACTGAGAGGTATTTCTGGCAGACTTTATGACTCAAAGGTGTCAGTAGGTTAAGAGAGTGCTTTCCTGTTTGGAAACTGAAATCTATGAGAATGTGGCCTGTGTTTTTCCTAGGTGCTTTAACTTCTATACCAGTTCCTTTGAAAGTAAATGATAGAAAATATTTGGTCTAACTTTTCAACTCTCTGGTCAGGGTTCAGTCTCCTATAACCTGTATGGAAAGCATGCCGACGTCTTATATAGGAATGAAAGTGTTCTTGCTCTTCAGATAACCACTGATTGGAAGGTCTTCTCTAATAGTCTTAAAAACAAAACAAAACTTTGACACTGCTCCTCCTAGTTACCTCCCTCTCCCCACCTCTGCTCTAGAGCCAACTTCTTAAAATAGTTGTCTAATACACTGTACATTCAGTGTCCTCATTCTCTTCAGGTTTCCTTAGGAGTCAGGCTTGTGCAGCCAGCACGGTACTGGAGCTGCTGCTGCTCGTGTGAGGAACAGTGTCTCTGCTAAATCCAGTGGCTACTTTCCAGCCTGGTTCTTGACCTTTTTATACCATTTGACTACTTTGCCCTGAAACTTTTCCATTGACTTCTAAAACATTCCAGATGCTTAGCTTTACTCCTGGCTACTTTTTAGGCTCCTCCTCTTTATCCATCCCTTTAGCAAGTGTGTTCCAGAATTACGTTTCTCTCCTCATCCTGCTCCCCTCCTTTAGGTTAATATTTCCATGGTTCTGATGACTCTTGGGTCTGGGCTAGAACTGCAGAATTTCTCTCCTAAGCCTTAGACCTTTAATACAGAAATGTGGGTGTTGCTCAAACCGTGTGTCGAAAGTCAAGCCTCTCTCCTCAGCTCTCCCTGCAAAGCCTGCTTTTCCTCTTGAGCTCCCTGTCTCAGTGAAGGCTGCTGTCTACGCAGTTTCTCCAGGCCAGACAGGCAGGAGCTAGCCTCAACTTCTCACTGTCAGTAGATTTTAACACATTAATAGGGAAGATGTCAGGCATTAAGTCAGTATGTACAGTCTTTATGGTGAGTTGTACCCTTTCTTGCTAAACTGGGAGAATAGAAACTGAATTTGATTTAATTCATAGTATTGCACACTCATCTAGAGTACTTCAAAAGAAAAGTTGATGTTTCTTATCTGATTTACTTCCTTTTAGAAACTAGGTTTTAGCATTGAAGCTAGAAAACTATACCTTCACAAGTTAAGTCTTTTTTAAGTAAAGGATTATAAAATATTTATAGAAACTTAAAATGTTATGGTTCAAATTGATTAAAAATGCTACATTTTATTCAGTTTTATTTGGGAAGGTACTGATATTTTTACATCATCTTAAATTTTAAATTTATTTGAAAATAAAGGTAAACTATCTCTTGTATACATGCAAACTTCAGTGTTTAGTAAATGGGACTAGTAGTCTTTTTAAAAGATTATTTAAGTAACATTAAAATAATGACAATTTACTTTTTTTAAAAAAAAATATATCTTTATTGATTTCAGAGAGAGGGAGGGAGAGGGAGAAAGAGATAGAAACATCAATGATGAGAGAGTCATCGATCAGCTGCCTCCTGCATGCCCCCGACTGGGGATCGAGCCAGCAACCCGGACATGTGCCCTGACTGGGAACCAAACCTCGATCTCCTGGATCCTAGGCCGACACTCAACTGCTGAGCCACACCCGGCTGGGCACAATTTACTATTTTAATGACCTTCAGATACAACTGATAGTAGACTGGATGTTTGTGCCCTATAACTTTTTTTCTGAGAGTACATTTATTAAAGCTGGGGAGAGTGAAACAAAGGATGGACTTCGTGTAGAAGAAGCAACAGGAGAGAGCTTGGGCAGTGCTCTGCTCTGGCTCCCTAGAAACAGGAAAGAAGTGAGCCAAGGCAAGGCTGCTGTTAGCTTACTAGGAAGTGAAGGTCATAGTGACAGAAGTGAGCCGGGGCGGGGCTGCTTTTTAAAAAGCTCACTGGGAAATCAGAGAACAGGGGACCTTGGAGACAGGATCAGGGGATAAGCCCGGGATGAGCTGCCACTGCCCACTGCCTCCCTGGTTGCAAGTCTCATGGGACCCTTAGAGTTTAGCAGGAAATAAAAAGTTCATGCCTGGAAAGGGACCTGAGCATTCTCTAGAACAAGCTAGCACTGGGTCTTTGTTTTGAGGGTTCTTATCCTTTTTCTGTGGTGAGAATCTTAGGGGAGGGTTTCAGCAGAATATTCTTCAGCTTTCTAGGTGCATTTTTAATAAGCTGATGCATCAAAATGAGCATATAGGGGAGTTTGGGATTGTTCTTTGGTCCACTTTACTGTATTACTTTTATCTCAGGTCGCTCTGGCTCTAATGGGGTTTTTGTTGTTATATTTGTTCCCCTGACTTCATCTGTCCTTGAGTTTAGCTGTGTGTCCTATAATTTTGATTATACATCAGTCCTTTTTTTAAAACATTTTGCTACTCTGATTTTAGATGTCTCTGTTTATGGTCAGCTTTAGCTATTTGAATTTTTGTATGTTTTATGCCTAGATATAAAGTGTTTCTCCCTGAATAAATGACATCACTACTGATTATTACCTATAGGAGAGGGAAAAATCATTTTTTATATAGAAAGTCCTTACTTGATTGAAATTTTATATAGGATTTAAAAAAGATACTTGGAAAGAAAACTGGCCTTGGTGTCAGACATAGGTTTAAATCCTAGATCAGTTATTTGTCAGTTTATGATATCTGGTAAGTTACTTTGCCTTCTTGGAGCTTCATGAAAATGGGATGTTACTTCCCTTGCAAGGTAGTTTTGAGAATTTTCAATACTATTTATAAAGCATGCAGCACAGTGTTTGGCATCTAGTAAGTGCTTAATAAATGTCAGCTGGTATTGATTTATGTTTCAGTTCAGATATAGAATAATAGCTTAATGTTTAAGTCATTTATAATTAGACAGTCTGAAAGTTTAAACCAGCCTCCAAATAGCCAGCTGCTAAGGTAGACTGCCATGTGGGCCAGATAAAGAAAGTTAATGTAATTTATTTTTAAACATATACTATCTATATGTCTACTGAATTAACAAAATTTTTTTTTTAAATTATAGATTGGGGGGAAAGTAGTGAAAACTGGTTTTTAAGACAGATTTGAAAAGCTTATTCATTAATGTTTAAATAACTTTTTTTTAATAATACAGAGAATGTATAATATAGTGCTGTACTGTTCAAGCAGTAGCCACTAATTATATGTGACCATTTAAATTTAAATGTAAACTAATTCAGAGTAAAATTAAATTGAAAAGTCGAGTTCCTCAAGTGCACTAGCCACATCTCAGATGCTCAGTAGCCACATGTGTCCAGGACTAGCAGATTGACAGCACTGGTATATAACATCTTCTGTGTAATGGAAAACCCTGTTAATGCTGTGGAAAAATCAGAAAAGAGTAGAGTCGGTTTTTTTAAGTGAGCGTTTAATGAGAATAGCCATTCTTATAACTTTTCCTCTTATTCTTGGTAAAGTTAATCATAGAATTGTTTGCCCTTATTGCATAATAATAACCACCACTTATAAAGTACTGGCTAAGTGTCAGACTCAGTCTAAATGCTTTACATTCATTACCTCATGCTTTTATTTCATCCTTGCATAAGGAATTCTATAAATATTCTGAGGCTTAGAAGAGCTAAATGACTTGCCAAGACATTAAAGCTGTAACCCAGACTTGTCTAACAGCGTTCTTCTCTTTTTGTTATATCAAGTTGCTTTTGTATAAAGGAAAATGTACATTATTTCTTCTGAAACAACCTGATGCCAACCAACTTATACAAACATGAAACCCTGATTATTAATTTTTATTTATATAAATTGACTTAATTAGGCCAAGAAATTCTATAATAGCATACTTTATTTAAAAAATAATAAATTATAAATTGAAGCAGATTTTAGATTACTGATTACTAAGATTGCCTTGACTAATGTTAAATTCTCTTTCTTGACAAACCAATGTAAGCTTGATTGTTAAGATTTACAAATGCATTCATATCTTATTTTTAAAGCTTTTGATCTCCAAACAAGTTTTATCAGTTATTTAACCTTTGTCATTATGATTATTCTAATCTGTTTTGAAAGAATAATTATTTGTGGACTTCTTTGTTCTAGGAGGCAGTTCCCATGTTATACTCAGCAGATCCTTACGGAGCATTGTAATGAAGTGTGGTTCTGTAAATTCTCTAACGATGGCACTAAACTAGCAACAGGATCAAAAGATACAACAGTTATCATATGGCAAGTTGATCCGGTATGTACTCCAGTATGAGTGTTTAGATTGCAAAGAGAGATCATTTTTAATCTAATTGAGTACACATTTTTAAAGTATGCACATACAAATACTATTTTCCAAGAACATTTTGTTATCCCTCTCATGTCTTACCTCTTTCTATGTTGTCTAGAGTATGGATATAGAAATTATAAAAAATTGTTGCGTTTTGTGTGCTAGTGATTGTACTAAGACTGTGTGCATCATCTAATTTACTCTCCTGAATAACTCTGAGATACTAAATAACATCTCCTTTCTTTAAATCAGAAAACTGATAAAGAAGCTAAATAACAAGGCTCTCACAGCTAGTAGATGGAAGAGTTAGACTCAAGTCCAAGAACATTTTTATCCCAGGCCTACTGCTCTGAATGTCCCTGCTAATTTTTATCTTAGTTAATACTTGACTTACTACGGATTAATACAATGCCCTCCTGTCACAAGTTAGAAAAGACTCATTACCATTTGTCCTCTGAAACCCTCCATTGTTTTGTGGAACTTCTGTTAAACACCCCCACCCCATTTTTACCCCCAGTGATACATATGAAAAGTGTACTGTATTCTGAATTTAAGATTCTAAGTTTTCTCTAAAGTCACATTTGCCTTTTGTGGATAGCCAGGTGACCTACAGATTTGTAGAAATAAGTATTTCCATTTCTTTCAGCACTTGGACATTTATCAAGCAATCATAGCAGTACGTGGATCCAGATAGGTTAAGGCGATATATTTGCTTTAGCAGTCCTTCACCTAAAATTATAAAGTGAATAGTCTTATTTTAAAATTTAGAGTTAGAATATGATATTAGCCCAGGATAAAGTTTTGGAAACTCCTATGTTGAAAAATAGGGAAAATGATCCATAGAAGGAAATATTTTAAAAATAAGAGAATCAGATTTGAGGACATACATCAATTCTTGTGTATCTGCAATATACTGTGAATGAAGAAAGGTAAAGGAGAGCTATTCTTTACCTTAAAGCAAGCGTTCTTTACTTTTTTTTGTACCATGTACTCTCCTGACAGTCTGATGACCCTGTGGATCCCTCCTCAGAGCAGTGTTTTTACATACCTATACCAAAACACATAGGAAGTCCAAGTATATATTATATATTGATAACTATGGAGACCAAATTATAGTGAAATACAGTTATCAAAATAGTACAAAAACATATAGTGTAATAATACAGGGCTTCTTAAAAAAATGTTGAATAGCAAATTCTAGCAGCAGATCTAATTATCAGAATTTTGAAGTAGTGATGAGCATAAATAGTATTTTGAGATTTCTGCAACAACTGTAATACGATGTGAAAATATTTGAGACTTTTATTATTAACAATCACCTAACACTGCCTAATATAATAGCTAACATATAGTATACTAAAGTACCTAGTATATTACTTAACATTACCTAATATAATAGCTAACACTACCTTGTTAATTACCTGCACTCAAGATTGAAGGAAATACTGAATTTTAGCCCATGGTTCATAAAAATAAAGATGTGTATTTTCCGTCTCATTTACGTTCAGGGATCCCTGCTTCTATCTCTGATTGACTCCTTGGAGATCTCAGGTTAAGAACCTCTGTGAAAGGAATCTAGAGTTTAGAAAAGGAAATCAAACACACTGAAATAAGTATCACACAATGTATATAAAGTATTATGAAAGCACAAAGAAGCTTCCCAGGTAGAGTACCTCATTTGAGCCTCTCTGCGCATAACACGGGGAGACAGGTACAGGGCTTTCTAGAAAGAGGGACTTTCCCTTGCCCTTCCCGAACTCCCAAATAAGAAACTAGCATGAGTAAGACAAAGAGTGGGAAATAGGACTAGAAAAATAGTTTGGGATCCAACCATGGCCTTTGAATACTAACTACTCTTGGGAGTTGTATTTTCATTCAGCATTTATTTGCAAGATGTCTGAAAAGAAAGCAGCAATACCAAACTATGCTTTCTTATGGTTTGTTTGGTTTTGTGGTGTGTTTTTTTGTTTTCCTAGCAGCAGTGTGTAGGAGCCACTTTTGTTAGGCAAGTGTTTGTTGAGCACCTGCTGTGTGCCACGCCTTTTGCTAGAGAGAGACAGGCTGAGCTCTTTATAACACAGGGTATTTGTTCTGTAATGGTTGCTGCTGGAGCTCCAAGAAGAGAGCCTGCTGGAACTGGGAAGCCAGGGAAAGGAAGGCGATTAAACCTCAGGTGAAGGAGTAGTGAGTAAGTATTTAGGCAAAGCTAGTTACAGTGGGCCCTGGGGCGAGAGAAAACCTGGCTGGGCGTATGGGCAGTTTGGGGAGCGGCTCATAGACGAGGAGATGAGGCACGTGAATTCAGCAGCAGCCAGAAGAAGAAAGCTCTTGTTTACTTTGCTGAGGAAATTAGACTTTTATTCCAGTGTCTCCCAGAGTGCTTTTGTCAGAATTCTGGTTGTGCGGAATGTTAATAGATGTTACATGTGAAGACTTTTGTGGCCAGATTAGCTTGGGAAATGCAGAGTTAATGCTTACATTCCATTCTGAGATATAGTGGGCTTAGTTTGATATGGTGGTATTCTGTTACTTCAAATGCTATTTGAAAAACTTGTGAGAAAAATGGTGATCTTTTTTGCACATGTATTTTGTGTCCATTTTTTAATAGATAAAAAATTTAAAAAGATACTTAGAGAACCTTAAGGTTTCAGTTGATGAGATTCCACTGCCTAGTTTCTTTTAACAGGTTTTCTTGCCTTTGCCCATAAAAAACAAGAATTTTGCCCATTCCCCATGTTAAAATCCAAGAAAAGTTAAGCGGATTCCATGAACATGGTATTTCTACTTTGGATACCTTAGTATAGAGACACTGTATTTGTGAGAATATAGTATTAATATTCTCTTTTTTTTTTTCAACTTTATCTTGTACAGGATTACTTTTTTATTAATGTGCACAAAACAATTAATTTTTTAGTTTAATACTTTTAAAGTAGTTATCAGTTCAGAAGCAAATCTTTGTATAGATCTGATGCATCACTATGAATGAAACCTTCCTGGAAGATCTTGAACTAGTCCAAGGCACTTGACTTGCATATTAAATTATGCAAGCCACTTTGACATAATAATACTACAATCTAATTCCAATACCTCATGCCTCGTTATTCCCCTTCCAAAGACCAGTCAGAAGTAGTTGCATTCACTATTTACTTTTGTCAAAGTCTGAAACTTAACTCATTGCTTTTTCCCACCTCTAGCCAAATTCCTGCCTCCTGTCTTCACTGTCCACATCCATCCATATCCCTTACGACAGAAATTTGGAGGTTGTTTTCAAACATTTCTTGTCTCGTGCTGTTCTGTCAATTTTATGTCCCGAGTATATTTTGACCTGATCTCTTTCGCTCCTGACTGTGCTAGTTTAAGGCCTCGTTTCTTGTCATTTCTTGTCTTCTCTTGTCTTGATGAGAGTTGTGTTGTCTGGCTCATTGAGGGTGTCCATCCTGTGTCTCTCATTCTGACTCATCATCTCTGTTGTTGTGTGAGTTCCCTTCCTAAACATGAATATCATATCTGTTTTACAGCTTACAATAAATCTTAAGTGGCTCTTCACTCACAGGATAAAATTTAACCCTTTAGCCTAACATAAAGATGTCAACTTTTCCCTCCTTGTCATTTGCTGCTTCCATGTTTGCACTCTACAGTTCATCTTGCACAACTCAAGAGTATCTTGAGTTTAAAGAGTCAGGCGGCCCAAGTTCAGATTCCCACCTATAAAGAGAGGCAAGTTCTAACCTTTCTAAACCTTCCATCTTCTCTGTATGTGGGGGGAGAGGGAGGATAATACTTACCTTTCAGATTTATGAGGATTAAATGAGGTTGTTTGTGAACAGTGCTAATATTGATTACCACTAAATAAGTGGTAGCTCTGTTGATGGGAATGTAAAATAATAGTACAGACATTTGGAAAACAGATTGGCAGTTCCTCAGAATGTAAAACATACAGAGTTAGCATGTGATCTAGGAATTCCATTCCTAGGTAAACTACCCAGGAGAAGCAGTAAAAGCATAGGTCTATAGAAAACTCATACAGAGGGGTGGCAGCGTTATTCATAATAGTCGAAAAGTAGAAACAATTCAAATGTTCATCAACTAATAATTGAATAAACAAAATATGGAATATCCTTAAAATGGAATGTTCAACAGCTAAAAGAAAAAAATACTGATACACTCTACATGGATGAACCCTGAAAACATGCTGAGTGAAAGAAGCCAGTTACAAAAGACCATATGTTGTATGATCCATTTATATCAAATGTTCAGAATAGGCGAATCTATAGAGAAAGCGTGGTTGTCAAGGGAGGGGAATGGTGAAGAATTGCTAATGAGTATGGGTTTCTTTTTGGGGTGGTAAAAGTGTCAGATAGTGGTGATGGTTGCACAGCTTCGTGACTATACTGAAAACCACTGAACTGTGTACTTTAGAAGAGGGAATTTTAGGTATATAAGTTACATTTCAGTAAAGCTGTTTAAAAAAGTAAAAGGTAGTTCTTATTGCACCTACCTGTTTCTGTGTCCTTGAAAGCCTCCCAAGGACATAGTTGGTGTCGTCTTTATGTTTCCATCTAGCACACAGTGCCTGGTGTACAGCAGATGCTTAATAAATGTTGCAGCATGAACAAGTCTTTATGAAGCAAGCTGTCAGAGCTTCAGTTGGGGGGGAAATTGTGAAACATTCCCAGATTATATTATCAAACTACATCTCATGCCCAGAAAACAATGACTTTAGTGATGGGAGTTTAACTGAGTTGTCTGTTTTTCCTCCTAGGATACACACCTGCTGAAACTGCTTAAAACATTAGAAGGACATGCTTATGGCGTTTCTTATATTGCATGGAGTCCAGATGACAACTATCTTGTTGCTTGTGGCCCAGATGACTGCTCTGAGCTTTGGCTTTGGAATGTACAAGTGAGCAAGTTCCATCCTTGGTGTGGCCTTTAAGTAAAGCATAGTCATACGCACATTTTCATTATGTAGAACAGAGCCATTCAACCAAAATTGCCATAATGTGTCTCGTATAAAAGGAAATTCTTCAGATGGAACCCAAGTGTCCAGATGTTTTATAAATTTAAACATGCTAAGTATAATTGAGTTTTTGAAAGAATGATCATTAAGTATTTTCAGGAATGTTGTAGAATTCATACTATTTACTGTGGTACTTTGTACCTTCAGAAAGATTTTATATTTCATAGTTTTCATAATTGTACACAGAAGTTATCTTTCAAGTGTGAAAACAGCATTAAACCAGATTTTCTATTCTAATCGCAATCACACCATGTCCTTACCTATGTTTAATTTTTTTATTTAGTAAATTTAAATGATGTATTCAGTACTTACTATTAAGGGCTTTATTACTATTTCTAAATGAAAATTTGAACTTTATCCAGGGTCCCATTTTAGATAAACTCAGCATTAATTTCACTCCATTATTTACAGACTTTTTTGGAAACCTTGTAGTTATAAATTTTTTTTAAACTTCTTTCTCTAAGCTAACTGGTTAGGTGATGTTTTTTGTTTTTTTTAACCCCTAGGATATGATTTGAGTGTAAAAATATAAATTGATAGGATAGGGTTTTCAGCCTGGGGAACTATTAAGTAAGTTGGTTTTTACCAAGAAAGTGAAGATAAAGCTGCATGGAAATTACTCAAATAAAGATGATATAAAGGACAGAATGAACACTAAGATGTGCCTGAAGATGATATGCCATAATTCTCATCCTGCTATTATATCAGTAGGATTTTCTTACTGCTCATTTATTTATGTTTCAACCCCAGCTTTTTATTAAGGAAATTTCCAGATATTAAAAATAAGTTGGAAGAAGAGTCCAATGATGTCCCATATACCCACCACTCTAGATTCCACAGTTGTTCTGAACATTCTTGTATACGTACATACATACATGCGTACAAATGTGATACATACACATTACACATGTATTCAAAACGTCAAGATAAATTATAGATGTATTTTACTCCTAAATATGCACATATCTCCAAAAAAAGTAACATTCTACTATATAACTAAATGCTATTATCTCAGAACATTAACTATGTAATACTTACTTCATGCTCCCAAAGTGTCTTTATGCCATTTCTATCAAACCAATATTTGTATTTGGGGTTGAGTTCAGGGAGGTGGCAAAGCACAGAATAGAGTAGATGGCTTTCTCTCATTAAAATAGGTTTGAAGGGAATCAGACCTAAAGACAAAACTTTTTTCCATTAGAACTTTATTTCCTCTCTCAAAAGGGAGTCATAATCCTGTAATGGAGACTCTTAATTTATAGTACTTCCTGTAGTCAATTTTGAATTTCTGGACAGTTAAACTATGTTCTAGCCTATCTGTTTTACTATGCATTACGTTATAGACTTATTCTAAAAGGATGGTCTTTTTTAGTCAGTTTTCAAGTTGTTCCTTTATGTTTTTAGTTAGGTTCCAGATTAATAGCCTCATATACTCACTAACCTGAACATAATAGAGGAAAAGACCATTTCAGAACTTAGAGTATTAACATATTCCTGGGTAGAAAATGCTGAGGATTTAGCTGTTGCATGTGTATTTGTGGTTCTAGACTTTATTTTAACTGTTTATATCAAGTAACCTAAAACAGTAAATAGGTGAGAGCAGTTAACAATATGGGGGAAGGATTTTAGATTGCTGAATATTTTTTTCCGTATAAGGGAGACATCTGGTTTCTATTTTTGTGCCCCCGGTTTCCTGATCATACACTTTGTTTTCCTTTTTTTTTTTTTTTTTTACTTTTGATTACCCATTTCTCACAGGAAAAGTATGCCCATGTACTTTTTATTGTACCAAGGGCAGCTATTATCTCTCAGATCCTGTGTCTAATCCATGAACAAAATGGAATCAAGACTAGATTAAATGGTATGTGTCTACCTTCTAAGTTGAATAACTTAGGAAAAATAACAGGAGGCTCTCTGAAGGTTGTAACCACTAAATAGTCTTGCTTATTAGTTGGGAATGCTTTAGAATGGCTATGCTGAATAGTACAGAAATTCCTCTTTTCTGTTACTTTTAATTGAAATAAAGTTACATATCAGAAAAATAAATTTTATTTCCCTTTTTCCATCTTCCCTACTACATTCTGAGCATCTTGAATATGAAATTTAACATAATTTAGACTGCGTACACCCTTGGCCTAGTTTAAGGGCATAGCTTTTCTACCCATTAATTATGTTTGTGAGGAATATTTAGAATAAAGTGTATGAAGGACTATGGACCGAGAAGCAGTGGGAACTCAGAAGGAAAGGTATATAGTGATAGAGTTTTCATCTTACTTGGGAATAATTACATGTTTTAATGAATGTAACTGATTTAAGATAAGAGTTTTATTGGAGTTTATCTCATCATAGCTATTCTTTGGTTCACCCGCGCCAGGCATTGTTCAACTGCTGGATTTTTCTTCAAGCCTTTAATTTCTCTTGTGAGTGCTATAAGCTTTATTCATAAGACCAATTCAAAACAGTTTTATTTCTCTAATTAAGAAAACTAACCAGATATTCCCAGTTAGTATTCTTTTCTTTGCACATCCACTTTACAAGGATTTCTAGAATGTTTTATTCACAGTTTTGTTCCTTCGTAGACGGGAGAGCTAAGGACAAAAATGAGCCAGTCGCATGAAGACAGTTTAACAAGTGTGGCTTGGAATCCAGATGGGAAACGCTTTGTAACTGGAGGTCAGCGTGGGCAGTTCTATCAGTGTGTGAGTATTTAGTTCCCCCTTCAAATGTCTGCTTGTTCAAGCAAATTTAGTTCTGTTTAAATAGTTTACTTTTATAAACTATGTTAATCTTTTTCCATATTACAACTTCTGAATATTAGAGGACCAATCCCAGTATAGTGAATGTTAAAGGAATGTTTGAATTATTTTCTAGTAGCAGTGAGACCTTTCCTTGGGACTTGGGGAGCCTTCCTTTCTCTGTGTGTATCATTGCATGGGGTTTTTGAAGGGACGATAGACTGACAGGTTTTACCCCTCCAGCTTTGGTGGTGGTGTAATGAAATTTGACCTGTGTTCAGATTTTCATGATTTAAAACACTTAATGGAACAATCAGGTGGAGATTAATCTCAGGAAAAGACAACCTTATTACAGAAAAATAGTGCCAAAGAATTGTTTTGTTTCTTTGTTTGCTTTCTGAGTGCTGTTTAGTGACAAAGTTCATTGTCATTTTCTCCTGCTCAGGATTTAGATGGTAATCTCCTTGACTCCTGGGAAGGAGTGAGAGTGCAATGCCTTTGGTGCTTGAGTGATGGGAAGACTGTTCTGGCATCAGATACACACCAGCGAATTCGAGGATATAACTTCGAGGACCTTACAGATAGGAACATGTAACTATTTTTTGTGTCCATTAAACAATTAATCTGGTTTATATTCAGATGTGCAGTTGAACTTGCTCTTTCAGAAGAAGAGCTTTTATGTTTTTGGTTTTAGTTTGATTCTTTGCTCATATTTGGATTGATGGTCAGGTGATGCTGAGTAATCCTTAACCCATATTCTGTTTCTTGATTGAAATGTAATGTGTAATAGTGACTACAGACAAAATTCTGGTATTTAAGCTAGGACATTTTATATTTTAACAATTTGAGTGATTCCTAGTATGATGCTTTTAACAAATTATTTTTTGGTTGCAGAGTACAAGAAGATCATCCCATTATGTCTTTTACTATTTCAAAGAATGGCCGATTAGCTTTGTTAAATGTAGCAACTCAGGTAAGTTTAATACAATTCTCAGAAAGAAATGTATCCTAGTTGCAATTTTTTTTATATATAGAAACAAAAATACTTATAATAATTATTAAATTTTACTGCATGTGTTGATCCTTAAGTGTGTAGAATCAACTAAATTTTTCAGAACTTTGGCATTTTACATAAATAGAAAATGAAAATGTTCCACCAGGGAAACAGATATTCACAGATTATTTTTTAAAATTCTTTCGGTTGAGGTAGAATAAATACCGATATTCTCTTTCACCTACAGGGAGTTCATTTATGGGACTTGCAAGACAGAGTTTTAGTAAGAAAGTATCAAGGTGTTACGCAAGGGTTTTATACAATTCATTCATGTTTTGGAGGCCATAATGAAGACTTCATCGCTAGCGGCAGTGAAGGTAAATTGTTTGTGTCACTGTCAGTTCACATATGTTGATGGGTTTAAAGTTCTGTAATTCTCACAATTTGTGAAAATGGCCATGTCTCCGAGCAAGGAGTTATTTATCCAGTACACTGTTAATTTCTCTTTTTTAGGAATGACTTGAGTCCTTATTGTCAGAAATCGATAGTGTCTATTCTGACCAGGTAGAGGTGTGTTTGGTGCGTGTATCAAATCATGATTTAGTTAAATCTTTCATATGTTGACTGCTTTTTCATGAGACTAATATTTTTTTTCCAGAGGTTGGTACTATGTAAAAAGTCAAGGTTAAGTGTGCTGTTTTACCTGAACTTGCACAGAATTGACTGTAGTTAGATATTTGACATTTCTTTAATGGCCCAAGAGAGTAATTTAGTTTGATGATTCGTATGGTCTTGGAAAGGCTGAAATTACAGAATTGTCTCTACTACCTTTTTGAATAAACTTATGCTCTGGTCTTACAACATTAGTATTTCAGGCAAGCATGTGCCTAAAGTAATCAGTTGCACTTAAATATATAAATTGTTTAAAACATGTAAGCACAGATAAGGCAGTATTAAAAATTAATGTACTTTTTAAGGTGATAGAAACAAATAATGGCAAATGATTGCAATTTTTCATTTAACACCTTTTTCTTGAGTATGTACTTACTGTACTGCTCTAAGCACTATAACAACAAATTATTTAAGTCACTTTTTAAAATACTGAATCCTTTTTTTTTTAAATGCAATTTTTATTTTATTTTATTTTTAATTATTTTTAATCCTCACCTGAGAATATTTTTTCCATTGCTTTTCAGAGAGAATGGGGGCGGGGGGAGACAGACATCAACTGGTTGCCTCCTGCACGTGCCCCAACCGGGACCGAGTGTGCATCTGAGGTACATGCCCTTGTCCGGAATCGAACAGAGGCCCTCCAGTCCGCAGGCCGATGCTCTAATCACTGAGCTAAACCAGCCAGGGCTAAAATACTGAGTCTTGTTTTACACGATACACCAGGGAACTGGATCATGTTAGTAACCACTTTTGGTAGTGTTCCATTTTTTATGTAAGATCTTTACTGTCCCTGTCTTGCCAAAAAGCTCATCTCAGCAGATGAGAGGATCACGTGACATGAGTTTCTCCTTTGTGTATAAGGTGTATGTAAGGATTAGGACAAAGAGACATTTACAAATTCAGACTTTATCATGAAGCATATGAATTTATTCTTTCTTCCTCCGCCCTCCCCCCAATCGGTAACAGATAAGATTTAGAGGTGAGAAGAGTGGTTTGTTAGGTAACAGTTGAGAGTTTACTTTTTCCAGCCAAAAAAATCTTTTTACCTATATGTTCTCCCAGATTCCCTTTTGGTTTCTAATTTGATGTGGTTTAAATACAACCTTCTACTTTTTTGCTTCTCTCTCTCTCAGATCTTTCCCCTATGCTCTAGTCAGTCCTGCTGCTGGTGGGTTTTTCCCCTCTTAATTATGCCTCACAACCCCCTATAGCTCTTAAAAATAATACGTACCCTAGAAGTGTTTTAAAATATGTATGGCTGCCATTACCCTGGTAATGCTAATCTTTTTTTTTAAGCCCAAACTAAGAATTAAGCCTGATGAGTAGTGTAGTTATACCACATTATACTCTATTTAGGGCTGAACGTGAAGCATTTATTTTGAACAGCATGTGAATATAGTGAGTGTATTAGCTCCCAAGATAACCACAGTATCTTGTTTGTCATTTATTTATAAGGAATAGATTCCAAGGACCTTCCAAATCCACAAGTATGTGAATGCCAGTATCAGATAGAGCAGTTAGGCAACCTTTCCCACAAAAAGCTGTGCCGTTACTCCAGCTTTTTCCCTGCCGACAACATGTAGGAGAAGTACGGGTACCTTTGCATAAGCACTGGCCCCCGACGTGATGTGGAGCAGGGCTGACCATCGGGCTTGTCATTCTGAAGCGACTGCTTGTTGCTGCCTCTTCAGGAAACATCCTCCTTGGATATGTGTTCACAAAAGCATTTTCTTCCAGACAGCAGATTTCAGTTGCGTTCACACTTTTCATGCTGTTATCTTTCTCTAGTTGATGTCCTCGGTTCAAGAAGAAACATAAATAATCTGCTCTTGCTCTTTTCTCTTTTTTTGGTATTTGCGTTTTGTGCAAGAAAATATTTTCAAAAATTACTGAACAACAAATACTTCCTAGGAAAGAGAAATTCAGTTCTTCAATGACTATAGTGGCATTTGCTTCACATACACACACACACAAAAGTCCAGCCACAGTCCGAGCTTCTTACCTTTTTGTTAGAAGTATTGAAACCAGGGCATATTGTTTTACAAGTTAATTACCTTTTCATGACTCAGACATTTCCTCGATTGGTAACACACCCACTGGAAGTTCCCACATTGACCACACAATTGACCAATAGATCTTCAGATTGAACACTTTTCTCTGATTTACCCGGGGATTCTGCCTTCTGCCTAAGAACTTCCACCTAAACTTGCTAACTTTTTTATGGTAATACATGGTGTTTACTGTGTGCTAGACTCTGTTCAGACACCTTTTCATATACAAACTGATTTATCCTCATAACATGAAGAGGAAGTATGAGTCCCCTCGTACAGAGGAAGAGTTGCAAAGAGTGGGCAACATGTCCAAAGTTACCCCACTAGCCAGTGATGGGGGGAGGGTGTGAATAGAGTCGTCTGACTCCAGAGCCCACACTCCGAACCACTGTTCTGTGTTGTTTGGTTGGGGGTTTTTTGAAGATTAGTTTTATCACAAAATAACATGATTGTGGGGTTTTGGTTTTTATGTTCACTTTATGAGATTATGACTAGCTGATTGCAAAACCATACGGTGGGGATTTGGGACAGTTGTCTAGACTTACTGGTGGGCTCCTGAGCTGGGCTTGTGCATTACTGTCCCGGTCTCACCATTTACTAGCTGTTAACCATGAGCAGGTTGCTAACCTCTTAGTTTATGAAATGGGGGTAAGCATATATCCACCTCACAGTGGCGGTAAAGATTAAATAATATACGTAAAGTAACTAGTACATAGTACGTTGTAAGCACTCAAAAAGATAGAGCTATCATCTTTATTATTGCTGTTTTTGAATTTGGATATGTTGCTTTTCTCTCACCCCACATTTCCATTCAGTTTATCATCTCTGTCCTACATTTGTTTACATTCAAAGACCTTGGCTGTGGTAACATATTACTCATGTATTACCAAATATTGCAAATAGATTTTGTGATGACTTGAGAGCTAATCACCTTTTAACAGAGGGGGGAAATGTATATTTTATTAAAATGCCGTTTCATAAGGTAATTTGTTAAACTATTCATGTTATATTTGTTTTTTTTAAGTTTTAATAATCAAGTCATGTTTTCTGTGTGTGATGAATGATCATTAAAAACCAGTTGGTTTTGTTAATGTTTAACTACTTCATAACTTTTCTCTGAATTACTGTTTATTCAGATCACAAGGTTTACATCTGGCACAAACGTAGTGAACTGCCAATTGCGGAGCTGACAGGGCACACACGTACAGTCAACTGTGTGAGCTGGAACCCACAGATCCCATCCATGATGGCCAGCGCCTCAGACGATGGCACTGTTAGAATATGGGGACCAGCACCTTTTATAGACCACCAGAATATTGAAGGTAACACTACTGCTCAGCTTTCCTGTGTTCTCAGCAGATGAAACATCTTGTTTAGTATAAAGCTGCAGCAGTTTGAAGCAGTACTTTAAGTGTGGGGTATAATTTATTTTCTCTCTTTTTTAGAGACTGTATACTATCTCACTCCACAGATGGAGGTTAAGTCATCTAAGATTCAGTGGTGTTTTTGTGTTTCATTGGCCACAGTGGAGGGAATAAGCTAGAAGGTGCCTCTTCATTTACATCCAGTTAGCTGTTTAGTGTTGTCACTTTAAAAATCTTAGGGAAATCTTGCTTCATTATAGAAGAACCATTTTATACTTTAGACCCCTAAGAACTAGCTAGTACACAAAATTCGAGCAACTTTAAAATGATCTTGATTATTATAGATTTTACCCTTAAATATAAATACCTGTTAGCACCATGTAGCATACTAGCATGAGCTATGCATGATGGAAAGAGAAAGGGAAGAGAACCAAAATGTATCATGTACCTGAGTGCCACGCAGCGTGCTGGGCTTGTGTTCACAATCCCACATAAGAGCTTCAGAGCCCTGCAAGAAAAGTGTTTCTCCTCATTTCTATGGGTGAGAAAACTAAAGTGTAGCAAGACTGATTGACCTGTTGAGTGCGGCCAGGTCTTCAAATCCAGGCATGAAATATTTTTTCCACTACTTTCAGATACTTGGAGATGAAGAAAGCCCAAAGCCAGAGGCTAACAGTTAAGGGCAAAGCTTAATTGAGCCAAGATATCAGTGTAAGAGAGAAAAGATAATGGGAAATGTCATGTAAATGACGTGTCCCTCTTTTCTCAAACAGAGCAAGTAAAATATTTAGTTTGCTTAGAAGGAAGTAATTTACCTAGAAATAGATTGTTTTGTTCATAGTGTGTCACTTAAGTATTTTAGTAAGAAAGATGACCATCTGCTCTCAGTTAAATTATTCTTACTGGAGAACAGTTGTCAGGGTAGCATCTCAGGTTTAAAAAAGCATATTCTCTATGCTTTTATATATTTTTTTATCTTTGTGGTACCAACTGTAAAAGCCTTGGCCAGATCTTATTTGTAGATGTGGACATGTGGCAGAGATGAGGGTAAAGGCATGAAGAGCACGTGGTCAAAGAGTTTGAGAGCTGCCCGGTTCAGAACCATAAAGGGCCGCTTTGTATTTGTAGACGACTGTGTGACATTCTGACTTTCCTTGTGGGAATTCAGCTACAACCAAACATGTTACCTTCTTTTGTTGTCCTGTGAAGATGTCCAGACCCACTCTCTAAGGTGTTTTATAAATCAATAACTGGCTATACGTGCATTTCTAATTTTATTAATCATTTAAAAGTTATTCCTTCAAATAAGCATCTTTGATTTAAAGAAGTAGGAAATAGGTGTGTAGTGACAGATGTATTATAAACGGATTTACTTCAGACGTGCCCTTGAGGATATGTGTGCACTTCCACTGCAGGGGAGTAGAGTTCACTGCAGTTCGGTGAATTGGATTAATGTGGGTAGTCACTACAGTATGTAAGCCAAGTGCCAGCTCAGCTCTAAGGTCTGGGTCTAGCTCAGCGGCCATCCATTGTGCTTTGGCTACGTAGGTATAGCCCCCAAAAGATTTTCATTTACATCTGAAATAGAGAAACAGCATCTATAATTAGATATTTGGTTATATGCTTTTTATGTGGGTATCTTCTGGTTTACTTCTCTACTTGAAAACATGTGTGTGTTTTTTTAATTTAACTAATAGCCATTTGGAATAGAAATTTTGAAAAATATAGATGAGGCTAAAGACGACATTCAAGGTCATAACACCCTGAGACGCACTGTAGAAGTCATTTAAGCCATTTCACTGAACTCCATTTCAGAACAGAAATGCTGGCCTTTTATTATAATGGTAGAGTTCCATACTGTATTTGTTTTTTGAGAAATATATAAATTGGAATAGTCTCAAGTACTAACATATGCTACAACTTGGATGAACCTTGAAAACAATATGCTAAGTGAAAGACGCCAGACACAAAATAGCACATGTTGTGGTTCCATTTATATGAAATGGTCCTGAATAGGCAAATCCACAGAGACTGAAAGTAGACTAGTGGTTGCTTAGGGTTGGGTACATTGTAGAGTATGCGAATTATATCAATAAAGCTGTTGACACATTACACCAGCACCAAAATAAAGGATTAGGGTGATTTTGCAGAATTTCAAACTGAGCTACCGAAAGGAGAATTAAATACATAATTATAACGCACAGTTCTCCCTCGGACTGCCGAATATGTCTTACTGTTGTAAACTGTCATGAAGATTTTTCTATCATGCATAACTATTTCAAGGTTCATTTTAAAAGTAGGAGATTTCAATATGATTATTCACTTGGGTTCTACAATATTCAAAGTAATCATGAGTTTAGGCTCTAATGTATAGTCTAAGACACGATGCAGGCACATTGTTTTAGTGTTTATGATGAAAGTACAAAGGGTTGCCTTGATGTGTTTTATTTTTTTAATGTGTGTGTTATTATATTTTGTAATATCACGGTGTTGATTTTAAAACTTTCTAACTGATAACTTTTTTCTCCCCCTCTCTTCTTTCTCTCACCCCCCTTCCCCATATACATGTCGTCTTGTCTTCAGAGGAATGCAGTAGCATGGATAGTTGATGGCGAATTTGGAGCAGACGACTTCTGTTTAACTTAAATTAGTCGTATTTTAATGGCTTGGGATTTGGTGCAAACAAACATGATTGATAGCTGGACAGACATGCTCGTCATGAAAAAAGAACCATTTCTGAAGCCCGATTGGGGCCAAACATTTACACCTTGCTTCATAGTAACCAGTTGAGATGAAGCACGTCGTTAGAACGTTGTTGGACACCATGTTGAATTCCCCCGTCGGTTGTGAAGAACTGTGCTACATTCAGGCTTACCCATTGAACTCAGTATATATTTTCTCCCTCCTGCCGTTTGTCTGGTGGGATACCATTCTTGTTGCTCTTCTGTGTAATGAAGTTTAAAATGCTTGTTTGGAAAACTTTATTTAACAGTTTAGAAGGCTTGATAGAAAGAGTGCATTAGTCTGAAGAGTATACATTGGATAGGAAAGAATTTCCTCCTTTTGTTTCTCCAAATCTTTCCGCCTTATTTAGCTTGAGATCTTTGCAGCTTGGTTCATGGATTCTAGCCTTGCCCGTTGCGCAGCATATGCAGATCCAGATGACAAACCAGTGACTATGTCAAGAGCACTCTCAATATTACATTTGACAAAAAGTTTTGTACTTTTCACATAGCTTGTTGCCCCGTAAAAGGGTTAACAGCACAATTTTTTAAAAAATAAATTAAGAAGTATTTATAGGATCAAAGTGACTTCATTTGTATACATTTGGAATCTAAACCAGCTTAAAAAACAGTTTCCTCTGTAACTTAGATCCGCAGTATAACTGCTCTTCTGGAGTACCACGTGAGACATGGTCAGAAGCAGTGCTTGGAAGGACATTACACAGGAAGGTCAGAGTAATACTCGGGAGGTTCCCCACTTTTGTTTTATTCCTGAAGTAACATCAGTACCTGATCTTGAAGAAATTCAAGATTCAAAAAGAGAATTTTAAATATAATCAACATGAGAGAGCAGTAGTCAGTTTAGGTTTTCAACAAGGCTTGTTCCAGGTGGTTCTCAACTTGGGAAATGGTTTTGGTGTGATCTAGCCAGAGAGTAGAAATCAGATAACCGCCACCTTGGAAGTTTATAGTATAACTGAGCTCGTTAGAAGAATTCAGCAGGTTACAAACGTACTTAACCTGGGTTTTAAACCTCATAGTCATTTTTCTTAATTGCCCTTAACATTTTGACATGTAGGGATACATTTAAAGACTCTTCCTTCTCAGTTTTTCAGATATTGCCATAATGAACCTCATTCTAAACTGGTGCTGTGGGTAGTCTTTCCCTCTCCCTTCTCCTTTTAGTTTAAGGAAAGGTTTCCTTCATGGAAAAGCACTTTTTATTTTGAGAATTTCACATTTAAGCCAAAAGCCTGGTGTTCACGTTGTGCTTTTAAATCCCGTAACAGCTGAATGCAGCATCCTTAGCTTCCTTTGAAACTCCCTCCCTTTCCAATCGAGGATAAATACAGTGACCACAGCTGTGATGTTGGGAAGAGGAGTGGGAATGCCCCCCAAATAAGAATCTGGTGAAGGAAAGGCTTGACCTAAGTTCCCCATTAGGCCCAGCGAGTCTGTAATGTATTACCACAAGGAGACTCTCGGATACACAAAGACCAGAAAGACTTGGGTGTCAGGAGCTCTTCCATTGGGCGGGGGCGGGGGATGGCACAGGGAGAAGTGGGAAAGTCAGGGAGGGGAGACGAAAGCGAAACACAATTGGCCTTAAATAGCACGATTCTCCCAAAAGCGCTCATAGTAAGAGAAAACGACAAATCGTGGTCAGCAGATTATTTTATCAAATTGGTATGTAAAAGATTTCTTTAAGCTCCATTTTGCAGAGATCATTATTTAGAATCAAGAATTCCTGTTTTGATACTTCTAAGTTAACTATATGTTACAGTTTATCTGGTACTTCATTTTTCTTAACTAAAATTACTTTTTACTTTAAGCTTGAATAAAAGTCTTCATTGGTAACTGTATATAATTAAGTGGCAACTTCTCTTTACCTCAGTACAGTTAAGTCCATATTTTAAGTGATTCATGTATATACCCTGAAGCCGTTAATACACCCCAGTCTACAGTATCGTCACTGACAGAACGTGGGCACAGAAACTCCACAGCTGTTTACAGATGTGGCTACAGTGTGCTCAGGTACATTGTAACATTCGCTGAGATGTGTGCCCATTCCGGGGCAGTTTGGCACTCAGATTCCACTCTACTTCACCCAGCCACCCTGAGACTCGAGTTTTCAGAGTGCTTCTGAAGTAGTTACAAACACTTTAAAAAAGTGGAGTAAACGTGAGGCACATCTGACAATGACTTAACTCCATTAAAACGGAGTAACTACTATGCAAAGGTTTCTACAGCAGCTAGGTGAGTTTGTTTCCCAGGTCTGTCTTATCTGGCAGCTTCCTATATATACTGGTACTTTGCTGTGCCAATTTGCTGTAAACGTCTATTTCATGCATTTGCCATGCTGTGACTGTGCTAGAAAGGTGAAATAAGTGATGAAGAAACCTAGGGTCTTATGGTACAAAGAACCCAATAGCAGGATGGTCTAACTCCTAGATGTAACTGAATACTTTAGAGCTATAGTCTCTGTAGGGTTAAGAATGAGACTATGTTGGAGAAAATAAGCCAGCCACAAGATACTAACAAATGTATAAATTGAAAAGTACCAATACTTTTTGCACATAGATCAAAGTAGAGTGGAGAATTTTGGCTCCAAAAATCAGGTTAGTAGGCTCATTTCCATGTGCTTAAAAATGTTTTTGTTGTTCATTAAGGGCTAGAGCAAGTATGAAATTAAATGTCTTTTTCCTGCAAATAATTGGTTATTACTAGTGCCATGTTGGATTTGGCTATCACTGAGACTGGCGTGTGGGTGGTGATAAGGAATTAGAGTGGGGAATTAGTTGGGAGGGATGACAAAGCTTCAGTTTTGGTTTTTGTACTTCATCAATGTTCATGCCAGCTACCTTTCTGTTACTCTTACTGGCCAGGTAAATGTGTTACATAAAACCAGGTAAGTAGTTTAAACAGAGGAAATTTTAATTGCAGATGTCCCTACAGATTGGCCCATTTTAGTGGGTGGGAGAACAGAAAGGGATTACCAGCCTTTAAATACATAAGTAATTAACTGGCTAGTTGAAAGGGGAGGAAATCCAGTTTTTGTCAGTATTTTCTTAATCTGAAATCACTAGTAGTAACCTGGTGGTTTTATTAGGAGTGTTCTCCCTCTAGCGTGGCTTTCGGTGACATTAATAGAAAACCCTTCTTCCCCACCCCTTCCCACCTTGAAATTTTCTTTTTTAGGACGTTGGTTCCTGCACACAAGAACCTCTGCTCACAGTGGTAAATATATCGTACATCTCTTGAAAGGCACATATCCATGTCAGTTTCTTTCACAGCAGAAGATGGCTGCTTTTGAATGGGGAGGAAAGAAGACTTTTTTCTTAATATCCTTTTGGTCCCATCTCTAAACTGTATAAATATCTTGATTTAGTTTTAATTTCTCACTTGGACTTCAGCAGCTCTCTTTTGGGGTTGCTTTCCAGAATAGTACTTCCATTCAAAAACCATGTCTTAATATAAACTAATTTAAAAGAAGAGGTGAATTTCATTTACACAGACACTTTCTAAAAACAGGGTGAACTTAACTGAGATTTTTCAGTGTTGTTAGACTATTGTTATAGTAGCTGCCCTATAGTTGCAAAAACAAAAACTATAAAAACTCATCCCCTATCTACTTAATCCAGATAGCCTGGATGTAATAAAACTAATAGTATAAAAACGTGTGTGTGTGAGTGCTGTGTGTGTGCGGGAGAGAGAGAGTACTTAATTCATAAAAAGGCCTGGGAACAGCTGTTCTAGGTCCCTGTCAGTTTTACTAAAAGTCTCGTGCACATGCGAAGTGCGCTCTCTGAATTTGTTTGCTTAATACTGGTATATTTTTATAAGATTGAAATTGCGTCCCCATCTTTAACTTAAACATTTTCATTATCAGGGTCAATGTGCTAAGACCGAATCGTAACATTTTTAGGCACAGATGGAAAAAAAATGTTACTGGCTCCTTGAAAATGTGTGTGTGGCGAGGGGGATAGACCCACAAAAAGCACGTGTGTCCTTACAAACCAAGCTGGAGAGATCAAGGAAAGAACTCGTGTCAATCTCAAGATTTCTAAGTTGTCGAGATTTACATGGCATTGTGGTGGAACTAGTTAACATTAGAGCTTTTGGTATGTAATAACTATTTGCTATGGACTGATTAAATGTTTCAAAGGATTGTGTTCTTAAATTTCGGGGGGGTTGTTTTTTGTTTTATTTTTTTAACTGCCTCTCAGATTATATTTAGTAGTTTAAATTTCTTTGCTTCATTAAAGCATAAAAAACTTCAGGTCTCTGATATTTATTTTCACTTGTCCTACTAATTATTTACAAAACACCCTTTGTTAACTTTTATAAATGTGTAGTATATTAAACGTCTTAAAAATTTTGTTCAATTGAAGCTACATTAACTTTGATTTGCTTTACTGGGTTGTTTTTAATACACCTTTCCACGTCAGTGCGTAGCACTTAACCAATCGTTTGTATTCCCTTTCAATCCAATAAACAGAATGAATAAGTAATTGTTGCTGTGTTAAATTTCATAATATCCATTAATCTGCATGTTGAAGTGGTACTGTTTTTACCTGCAACACCCAACTTGATGAATTTGACTTCTATATATTTACCTGGTGTTTTTAAGTGATGTCCAAGGAAGCACTGCTCCTGTGTGAAATCATGGATTAGGAATCACACAACCCATTTTGTTCAGAAACATTACTGCCTCTGAAATTATGCGTTAGACATTGGATACATTGAGTAGTAGAGAAAATGTACTTCTAGTTTGAAATTTTAATTTATATCATAATAATTGTATAGTTCTTCAAAGATCTTGGAGAACAGCATTCATTGTATACAATCCTATAGTACATTTGTATTTATGAAAAAAATAGAAGAGCAGTTGCCGCACCGGAGTGAATTACTGCAGAGGTGGGCTCTGAGGGCTTTGCTGAGAGGCAGTTCTGCTCAGTAAAAGGTTCAAATGTGACAGTTTTGTGCTTGGCGGGCGGGAACTGGCGAGTGGATCGGGGTAGCAGCCCCACCAGGGCAGCCGAGGTGCAGTGCCTGGGCTGCTGACTGCTCGCTGCTTTGAGTCACGGTTGCAGCTTCCTCTGGTCAACAGGCAAGAGAAGGGAGCAGTTTTTCTACTGTTCTCTTTAAATATGGCTGCACGTTGCAGAGTTTGCCAACTTAGGTTGTTGATCTGCATTTCAGGTTTCGGGCCAGATCCCAGCACCAGGAATAAAAACGGCCCAACCTTAACAAATCTAAGAGCAGAGAGGTATTTTAAAACAATTCCCTTCCACTTAGGAAAAAGAAAGGTTGGTGTTCTTTGCTTACATCATTTAATGACTTCTACTTGACTTTTTTTCCAGAAAAATCTTAAAACTGTTACAGAAGATTCAACAAACAAAACGATCCCATCATCCTAATACTACTTCCAAGCATCTTAAGTGTCGCCGCTGATTTTGTGGCAGTGGGCTCTTCTCCCGAGAACTTGATTGGCGTACTTAACGTGAGCTTGCTGGATGTGGAACTTTCCTAGTCACATAGTTAACACAATGTTCAATCAGCATGTAATTATCTCTAACCAGGAAACGGGGAAGGGCACGTTTTCAACCAAGTTTTCATTTCCTTTTTTGGATGCAAGGATTAGTTGTTTGGTCATTATATTGATGCAACTGGGGTCCCTTGTATACAATTCAAAACTTCTTTTTCCTTTATAGGCTCAGGAAAAAGATCTCATTTAAGATGTAATTATGGTCTATGATGATAGACCATATCTAGAATTCAAATGAATGAATATGCTAAATGTTTTTCATTTAACTGAGATTTTTAAGCCACCTTAACACCCCTAGTAATTTTATGGTGTCAGTTGGCACAAACCCACTTATTGGCGGTTTGGGGACCATAAGACTGTGCTACTTTATCTCAGCGGTGAAACCAAGAATTAGAAGCAGGAGCAAGAAGGTACTGGGAGGGACTAACCCCAGGACTGTGCCCCTGTTTGGTCACTGAGGAACATAATAGGGAACAGGTATTCATTTGGGCTAATGGATTGGATGCTTGCTGTCAGCCAGTCGCTATGGATGAGCCCCTTTATAAGCATTCTTCAATCCTCAAGGTAGCTGTACAGCGCAGATAGGCTGATTCCTACTTTACAAAAGAGAGAAGTAGGCAGAAACAAGCTATCTGGTATGAAGGAGCTGGGGCTCAAAGCCCGGGGCCTCCGAGCTCATGTTTTTAAGCCCTGCACCATCTAAGCCTCCCTTAGTCTGCAGATGGCCACTTGCCTGAGAATAAAATTGACTGTTAAAACATGCCAAAGACAGGTGAAAAGTTTAAGGGCCCACTTGACTGATTCTAGTTAACTGCATAGTTCATGAAAGAAAATGACACTTTTGAAATTCTATTAGGATACTTTTCTCCATATAATTAATCAAAATAGACTTTCCTTTTATAGAGGAAAATCTCTGCAGTAAATTCGAGTATCTTTTAAATTGTTTTTTAGCTGTAGAGTAGTGGTTAAAATCATGGGTTCGGAGTCATTGGACCTGAGTATAAATCCTACCACTTGATATGTCACTTCAGACAAGTTACTTAACCTGTCAAAAGCCTCGTTCCCTTATCTGCAGCTAACAGTATTTTACTGATCACACTGTAATGTGAGAATGCATACAGTAAAACCACAAACAATTTTTTTGAGTCATTTAAAAGTGAAGGTAGAGGATGCTGTCAGCAAAATCCAGAATATTGGGGGCTCTACACAAGTGGTCACTGTGCCAAATGACCAGCTTCTTCAACATATAGTGAGGAAACCTAGTAGATTTAAGAGACATTAACCGAATGAACGTTTAGATTTTGTTTGGATCCCAGTGTGAACAAACCAACCACAAAATGAACCAATGGGGTAAACTTAAGCACCAACTACATATGCAGTACTGAGGAATTACTAGTTTTTGTTGACATTGGTACTGCGGTTGTGTGTGTGAAGAACTTATCTTACAGGGATAAGTAAATTATTCCATAACGATGTCCGGTGACCCAGAACAGGGTGGGAGACAGAAGGTAGTAGGTTATGGATAAAACAAAAATGCCCCTGAGTTCAATTACTGTAGTTAGTAAAATAGAAAATTCCCAAGTAACAGGATTAGCCGTGCCCAGCAGGTCTCTGATGGAGCATACAGTGGCAGCCAAACTCGTTGCTTTTAATTCAACCATCAGGTTTGACTCTCACCCAATTTGTGTGCAATCTGAAATAACGCTGCTGATCAAGTCACATAAGATCAGGCTCTAGAACTTGATTCCATATCATCAACTTGAGTGGACTGAGCTGTGAAAATAGACAAAGGATTCAAGCTCCTTCCTTGTTCAAGTGCCAGCCTCTTGCCCCAAAAGTATAAGGTGCTTAGAAGAGCAGCTGTAAGGTGAGCGCAGCAGGAGTAAGCGATGGCTGGGAGTGGAGTGTAGCTGGGAATCTTTGTGCCCCTCAGTCTCTGACACACAAAGTGCTGCATTGGAGAACGGGAATTTATTTATTAAACTGAGTCACCTCTTGACTAGGTTCTAATGTTCAATGGGAACTGATACAATGAAACCAAGGTTGCTCTGTAACGGATGTAGTGAACCAAATAGAAGAGGAAGCCACAGTCAAACCTCTGAGCTCCTGACTCACTGATGTGACTTACCACTCCCTCTTCCCTGCTCCACTTGAAAGGGAGGCAACTAAAAGCAGAAGCTTTGATCAAGAAATGTCTTCCAAAGAGCAACCTGAGCTCAGCAGCAGGCTCGCTCCATGAGTGGTTCCTTTAAATCTGTCGTTCTGGGGGCGTTATGACTGTTACTGCAGGTCACACGCTAACCCTAACGCTCTGACCCTCAGTCATCAGACAGTATTTAACTAAAGCAAAACAATTTGGCTACTATCTTTTTTACAATTTTCGTTGAAATTATGGCATAAGGCCAAAAGGCTTCACTGACAAACCCACAGTCTAGTAGGAGAAGTTGCATACAAACTACTGTAATGCCAGGTAGGAAGTGATACGTGCCATGGGAGATGACATGCCACGGGAAGCTTCCTTAGCTCTCAGCCTCGAACTAAGATGGGGGAAGAGGAATCTGATTTGGACTCCTACTCCGTTGTCGTGGGTATGGCATGAGAAGGTGGCTGAGGGGACCTGCCAGGCTGCAATAAACTGAGCTGCATCTTGGATGTGGCTTCCTCAGCCCTCTCACCTGAGGTTCCGGTGATTAGAGAGGGCCCCTGCTACCACTGAGAAGCTGGAAGGAAAAGGGGAAATGACACGACAGGTAAAAATACTGTGCACACAGGAGCACCCTGTGGTCATCTGCACTGGCTGAGCCCCAGGAACTGTGCCTTCACAGAGACGGAAGAGGAGTGACAAGGGAGAGGCCACACTGGACTAACCACTAGGACTCCAGATGCAAACTCTAGGCCTGTTCTGCATCTTTAAGATGAAGTTAGACCGAATGACCTCTAAGGCCTCTGCAACTCCTATCAGTGAAAAGTGCTTAAAGTTAATCTTCAGCATCCTAACCACAGCTTTTCAAGGCAGTGCTCTTCTCCCCTTCCCATCATTTGTAGAGAAGCGCCTAAAAAATGGAAACAAAAACTAGACTTATCCCCCATTTCTGGCTTTGATACAGACAAGCAATACAGGACTGGTGGTTTTACTTGTTTCTAGGCATGGTTCATGTTTCAGAAGTAGAAAGCTCCTGCCCTTTGTTATAAACGAGGCACCTTCCTGATGTGCTCAGCCCAGCAGTGCTCGCCTGGCACGTGAACTGACAGCCGCACTCTCAACTACATGGGTTTGATTTTGGTTATTTAAAATACTTGAATAAGAAGATAAAACATTTTGGTCAACAGCCCTCCACCACCTTTGAGCTTGACGTAGCTTGTTTGTCTCTCGGTTCTGAGGATTTCAGTTCTCCAGCAGTGTCCGTTGCTTTATTAGTCTGAGCAGAACATGAAGAGGCACTGGACCTTAGGGAGGAAGGCAGAGTGAAGAGACTTTTGTTTTTTTAAACAAAGGTGCCTCAGAAGGAAAAAGAAAGATGCAAGCAAAGTAACCTGTGTTACAGCTTCTTGGCTCTTTGCCTGGCAGAAATACGACAGAACCACAAGGAGCGATTTCTGAGACCCCAAAGAGGCCAACAGAACCCAGCTTCCTGTTCCTGCTGTTCACTGTTCCTTTTGAGTGTGGCCAGGGCATTCCATCCACCCCTGAAACATGGGCCTGTCTGTAGAGGGAGTTCTGCTGGCTCCTTGGCTTCTGCCAAGGCTAGACCTAGTCCGGGGTGGAAAGGACACACAACATTTGCTCTTTTGGTAACCACACGCCTTGTTTAGCCACCTGGTTCTGCCTCGACAGTGAATAATCCCTTTGGACTCTGCCATAAAACACAACCATGTTTTGCCCGAATGCCAGCACTTAAGATTAAAGCACAAAGTGGCACTGAGAATAAACTGCCAGGTTAGTTGACCCAGCAAACAGAGCCAGAGGTTAACTGCTCTGATCAACTGCAAAAGTTTACAAGCTCCAAGGAACTGAGCTTGGGTGGACATGGCCTTGTCTAAGAAATGGCTTGTACTGGAGCTCCCAACAGAGCGGCCGGTGCAGCAGGCCGGCATTCCAGCTAACCTGGCACCAAGCGGAGCACTCACACGGGATGAATGACTATTCCTGCTTCTAACCTGAACATCTACCAAATCCCTCTCCAAACCTACTAAAACTATCTCAGAGATCAAGTACAACTGGAACAATTAGTATACAAACAAGACCTGGGACTGTAGAGGTCTGCTGGTGATCTTGGAGGCAGTAGCTTTTAAATGAAAGCTCTTGATTAATTTTGTGAATTTTCCTTCCTATAAGCAGGAATGACATTGTACTTGACAAATGGCTTATAAGGTTTCACAAATTCCATAGCGAAATATATAATCTTTAAAATGTCATTTTCCATTAACATTCTTACGAAAATATGTTAGCTGACAGTCCCTAAATCTTCATAAATACATGAAGCTGCCATAATATAGGCAAAGGGTAACTGACTTTCCTCCTTTGCCCAGGTGAACTGCTGGTCTGTACTCTTGACTTTTCAGTTGATGTGATGAGCAGCTCTTTGGCAGGCAAGGCTGGATGGCAGTCCTGTTCCCACATCCAAACTACCATCTTCAACGCACAAATGATGATAAACATCTTTACGTGTTGGGCTTCAGGCTAAAGTCGAGAACCAGAAATCTACAAAAACTCAATTCATGTTTTTTAAATAGTTTATATGGTAAAAATACAGCAAAAATATTTTTTTGTTCAAAGAGGAAAAAATATACTGCTATGGTTACGGTTCTAAGGATGACGTTAGTCTCTGGCTCCTCAACTGCACTGTAGTGTAGCTGACTTCACCATGGCTTCTCCAGCTTCAGTCATTTATCAAAGCTAAAATCATACTGTAGAGAGAGGAAATTAAGGTTACCAATGTTTCCTCAGGAATGTCCCACACAGCCTGGTCTGTCCAAACTTATATCCCTAAGGCTCAGCAAGGAACACTCATCTGAGTGTGAATTGTTTATACCTAAAGGAAAGAAAATCTCTATTAGGGTCTCTAGATGCCCTATGTATTTTACTGAAAATTAAGGTAATCAAGGCGGGTTTGGGAATATAACCTAAAACCAATACTGGGCTATAGTTTAGAAAAAAACAAGCTATGTCCAGGAAAAAACAAATTGTCTAGGCAGATCTTTGCACATGCTGCCCCTATGCCTCCAACCCCCCTCCCCATCCTGCCCCATCCCCCTAGCACATTCCTCTTCAGGCCTCACAAGCAGGCGCTCAGCCAGGGCAGCTGCACGGGCTCCTTCCGCACCTCATGGCCTCCCGTATGCCTCAGCTCCCCTTCCAGCCCTGGGTTGTGAGCTCCTCTGAGACAAGTGCAGGATCTAGGTGCGGTCCCTTGCATACTCCGGGATAACACCCGGCTATGGCAATACCAGGCTCCAGCTTTTACAGAGGGGTTTTGAGCTGCTGCTTTGTGTCCCTTGCAGTGCCTTACAGTGTCTGACACATAGTAGTCTCTCAAGAAATACTCTAATTAAAACCAGCACAGTAACAAAACTTATCTCCTTTTACTGGAATCAGCTTTGCTTTGCTGAGATCAAATGATGAAATACACAGAAATACCCTGACATTACTAATGGTATAAGTTGTTTAAAGACTTGTCCCAATTTAACCGTACTAAGTGTACTCAGTGCACAGCCAGATTAATAGTAACAAATATTTTGGAAAGATTTTTTTTAGGGTTTACTATAGGTCAGCAAAAACCTAAGTGCTTTATAGGCATCATCTCATTTAGTGCACATCACAGTCCGATAAGGTAGGTACAGATAAGGAATAACTAACACCACAGAGTAACTCTATTGTAGGTCACACAGAATGCTGATTCAGTGACACATAAAAATCTACACACTGCAAGAAATTCACATAATCCCCCAAGGCGCTGCAATGTCAGTGCTATACCCTACAGTATAGTATCTCACCCATCAAAAGCAAGCATGGGGTCCAGGAAAAGACCAGGAGGGCAGTAAACTCACCTGTAAAGGTACATAAAGAAACAGAGCAGGTGGAAACCAAGCTTGATCATGGCTTCTTTCATGTGTGACTTCAACTGCCCTCGATTGTGTATTTCTGTTGGGTCAAACACTCCCATGTTACCACTTGGCACCATAATGAACCTGGTAAAAGGATGCACATATATAAGAAGGAAAAATCATCAGCATAAATGTTCAAAACTAAGTAACCAATAATAATCAGCCTTTAAAAGTGAACCAATTAGCAGTTTTAAATTCAGACCAAGTATAGACAGGGTATTAGGGTGAAGTCATGGGCCACCACTTAGTTTTCCTTTGAAAAATACAATACTGTTATTTTGGTGTGATTTCCTGCCCTCTGGCACAAATACAGTAACATGAGAGGATATTTTATGCACTGAGACCCTTATGCATCTTCTGTAGAAAATCACTAAGCTCTTTAGACACGCATGAAGGGGGCTCCAAACCAAACCAACTTCATTAAGTTCTTAGAATCTTCTCTGTCTAAAAAGTTCTAAATTAATGCAAGTCCCTTCACTTTCACAACATCTTTATAAGGAGGAGTAGTGTCAGATATAATTATTCCCATTTCACAGATGACAATAAAAAGAGGTTCTATGTTCAGACCAGAAACCCCATCTCTGGTGCTTCTGCTGATCAATCGATAGTATATCTCAGTCTGCATGGTTTATAAATCGTACCTACTTTAAAGGAGCAATTTAAAGAAGACAGAACAGAAATTATTTAGAATAAATGCTCCTATGGTGAAATAAAACTCTTCAATCAAGGCAGTAAATGGATAGTTCAGACTGAAAAAGTGATGTCTAACTTTACATAACTAAAAAAAATACAGATTAAATGCAAAATATACAAATAAGAAATGTACTTTTTATAGTGGTCACAGTATGACCACAGTGGGGACTAGGAACGGGGCTACAAGTCAGCACAGAAGATAAGGGCACCATAAGCATGCACCTCATTCCAAATCCAGACCAATTCAATCCAGTGTTCCCACAGACTCAGAATAGACTCCAACTTTTTTTAATGTTTTTACTGATTTTAAAAAGAGAGGAGGGAAGAGAGGAGAAACATCGGTTGGCTGCCTCCTGCACACACCCTGACGGGGAATCGAACCAGCATCCTTTCGGTGCACAGGCTGATGCTCAACCAACAGCCACCCCGGCCAGGGCTGGACTCCAACTTTTTTTTAATCTTAATGTACTATGGAGTCTTCAGGGGCTCTTCAGATAACACGTACATTTCATATTATCACTGTATATAATAGCTACACAGGATAGTTGTCGTCCTTGATTGATTCCTTTTACAGATAAGGAAGTCGGGTGACTTTGAGAGAAACAATGAGTTTAATAGCGTCTGGGCCACATACAGATCGTGGCCTAACGCTGCCCATGACCTCTTCTTGCCTTCCCGTCCAAGCTGCCTCTAGCTCTCCCCCTTGCCCCACTCAGTTTCTCAACCCTGACTTCTGTGAAGTGCAAATGCCCCTCTGAATTCCACAAATCTTTTATGGGAGAAGAGAAAGCTGTTAAAAGAAAATAAATTTTTTTCTTTAAACGTCCCTGACATAAAATAGTAAACTATACTCACCGATATATATTCCAAGTGGCAACGGGCAAGTTGAGAAGGAAGATGAACCAGTGCAATGAAACGAGCATTAATAAAGTGACGATGGAGTGGCCAATCAATTCTGGAATGACCCACTGCAGGGGGAGAACAGAGTATCACATCTCACAACTGGGTCCCGAATGGGCATGTCACTGGAAGCTAAATCAGCGAAAGTACAGGGAACTTCAAGCTAGTGTTTCAAGATATTTTTAGACTCAATGTCTCAGATTTGCAGACTGCTGTAACCACCCAGCCCATGCAGACACATCAGGGCCCAGCTTACACATGACGTGCTTCAATTTCAACTGTGCTGTATCCTAAGCAAAGGTTCCAATTTATTCACTAAGCAGGTCTGAATGACAATTAGGGGGAGTACAGGGTATGGTTTATTCTCTCTCCCAGTGCCTATGCTAGAGCCTCATTTCTTACTCTAATCAGGGATGGTAGATCCACAAACATGCTGCCTTTCATATCAGAGTATCAATCCCATTTTGCAGTCTCCAGGATCCTGAGGGAAATCATTTCACGCCCACTCATTCATACACACACACACACACACACACACACACACAGTACTTTAACAATAACAGCTCAAAGTTGTTGAACAAATATGATAATGAACTAAGATACCAGAATCCCAGCCTACTGGCTTTATAGCACCCAGCGCCTTATCTATGCTCTTTGTTTCTTGGGCAATGTTCTAGTTTTCATGCATCAACAGCTATTATGGCAGGTTCTCAATTCATCAATGGTCTTCTTCTAGGAGTATAAATTTTTCTTTTAATAGACGATAATAGCTAATATTTATGGAGCCAAAAACTGGCACTCCCCACTTCAGAAATGAGGGAAATAAAACAGAGAGATTAAGTAACTTGTCCAACTATTTTGTGGCACAGGAATGTAGCATAAGACAGACATGCTGGCCCCAGGTCTCTTGCATTTGGAGTTTAGGTACTTTTTGCAAACAAAGAAGGGACTTTCTGAGCCTTAAACCTAATTTGCAGCCAACTGGAACTTTTTAATATTTTATATGTATTTTTTAATGTGTCCAATTTAATATAAGTGTGAGCAGCAAAGTCAAACAAACCTGGAGTGGAATCCATGTGCTATCCTATTTATTAGCTGTGCAATCTAGGAAAAGTTACCTATAATAATTAACATTAAAAGAACTACGTAACTTCAAATTGAAGGAATTTTCTCAGTAGGAGAATCCAGATAAGCTTTTCTTTGTATTTAGATTTTTATTTTTATTTAAAAAGAAAAAAACAAAAATATTAAGAAAGCAAGAAATATAAAAGGACATACAATCCATCTGATTATATGCAGTCATTTTTCTAAAGATGAGAAGGCCTGAAACTAATTTAATGTTATATATCATCATATCTCAATTAAAAAAAAAATTTTTTTAAGAACTCTCAAAGCATAGTAGATAAACACAAAATCTTTTATTTATCACTGTATTAAACCATTTTCTAGAAAATTGGTGGGGGTGGTGGGGAAGAAAAAAAAGGAAAAGAAGAGAGAATGAATTTCGTTTACTAGAAATTTTAACTTTCCAAATATATCTTTATTTCCCTCATGGGCCAGGTAAACTTAAGAAACGTGGAAATCACTTTTAGGTCAGGCCAAAGCACTGCTCAGCATTATATTTTTACATGAACTTTTATCTGCAAAGCTCTTCTGTCAGCTCATCTCGAATCAGGACCAACTGGTTTCTCTGCATCTAGACAAGCCCCGCAATTCAGAATGTTCTTGCCAATATAAAGTTCTGACGATACCAAAGGTAAAATGGCTTTAAAACAAATCAGCTAATTAATTCCACTACTCAGCCAGTTACAAAAAGGTCCTTCAGTCAACAAAAGACAGAACTATTACCCCAGTAAGAAACGTTCACCTAGTCTGGGTAGTAATGTCCCCTGTGGTCAAAGGGACAAAGGAAGCAGAAAAAGAAACAAAATTCCAAGTTAGGTCTTCCAGCAGTTTCATGTTTAAAACACTGGAAAACACATAGTTCTACCAACATTCCAATAAGAGACAATATGCACTCTGAAATCAAATATACGTAGGCTGATTATCTATAATAACCTCTAATACGGAAAATGGAGGAAATGAGCAAAGAAACGTCTTACCTTGTTTAATTTCGAGCAGCATGATCGAGCATTAATGTAATCACATTCTAAATCAGACAATGTAATTATCTGATGAGCAAGATAAGGAATTATTAGACTTTTTAAGTAACAATTAAGTATTTGTTTTTAAGTCTCAGAAAGCAACCCCAGTTGCAAGGCAGAATGAGACTAGACTCGAAAAAAATTTTATTTCCTTAAAGCTCATTTATTTGACAACAAAATTTTCTCATTTGTGTTCCTTCAACAAATGCTTTTCACAAAATAATACTCTCATTATGCTCAAGTCTAATGTGACCCATACCAGAACATTCCATGTGAATTCCTCAAATGTCAAACAGCAGCTATAAGAAATGGAAAAATCAGACCTATGAAAATAGTGTAAATGTTAAGAACCTGAATTCCCCAAAGTGGAAAAATAGTGTTTGTTTATGACATAACCATATAATGTCTTTGAAGACTTAAGATATAAAAAAAGAAAACAGGATACAAAACTATAAATGCAGCATGGTCATGTTAGCTGCTTATGTTGCAAAAGTTGGGTCACATATGACTTGTTTTCCTAATACGTTTCTCTATCTCCCAAACATTCCACAATACACATATATTATACTGAATTAAGCAAAAAATGGTTGTTAGTACAAAATATAAATTCACAAATAAACATCTGAGGGACAGACAGACAAGACGAAAAGAATTCTTCAACTGAATGACAATGCCTGGGGTTTACTTTAAAATGCTCCACCACCACCACCCCCCATAGTTGGGAGGGAGAGAAGAATGGCCTAACATTGAAATTCCTGAAGGTGAGTGACAGAAACATGGGGTTTATTACACTACTCTCTCTCCTTTTCTGTCTGAAAATGCCCAACAATGCTGCTATAAGCAAAGGTTCTCAACTAAATTCTAAACATTCCCACATGGATATTCCCCTATCACTTCAACACAGCTAAAGTCAAACATCACTTTCTCTACAAATTGTTCCACCTCCAATTTGTTTTATTTCTACCAATGACCCAAGCATCATTTGCCCAGACTCAAAATATGGAAAGTTATGTCTGCCTTCTGTTTCGTATCTCATAACCAATTGTCACCAGGTACTAGCAACCATTTTTTCCTGACACTACTCACATTAATCCCTCCTTTCACCTGCCCGAAATTAGCACTCTGTTTAAAATCCAGGTGAACCCTAATGTTTTCCTACCTTCCAATCTTCCCAGTTTCCAACCCATTCTGCTGATTCATCTTCCTAGTACACCACGTTACGTGAAAACTTTGCAATGGCTCCCTATTGCCTAGAGGGTAAACGTGACAGCCCCCCTCCTGAACCTTCAAGCCCTCCAAAATCCGACCGAATCCAGCCTTTCCAACCCGAGCTGCTACCAACACCAAAATCCACCACGTGCTCCACATACTCCTTAACCCCATCACCCAGAAATGACATGAGCATACCTTTGCTCTTGCCTGTGTGCGATTATAAACAGCCACCCACCCCTTTCCTTCTCTGCAGATATTCTTCAGGGTTCAAAGTCCAGGAAAACTCCTATCCTTACAGAATGTCTACCCTGACCATTTCCCACTTCTCGGCTTTAATACTAAGCTAGGGCAACTATCCAAAAATACAGTAACACAATATGCTGAGTTTCATCAAAACACACCCTGAATGTACCTTACTGTGTACCTAAGCTATTCCACCCAACATTTTTCTATGTACATTAAATCGGTATAAGCCAAGGCTATTTGAAAATATCAAGCCAAATTTTCCAAACTGCAAAAAGAGAAACCCAACTTTCATTTTTCTGGGTGTAAGCTCCAGTTCCTTGTCGCAGAGAGCCATAGGTCACCAAAACTTAGGCAAATGATGCTGCCCTTTTAGTTCCCCAAACCTCATACAACTGCTGCTCAACTGGAGGAGAGGAAGGCAGAGCAACATTTACTGACTCATGGCCATGGGACAGGCACTGTGCTAGGTGCTTAGCACCGGTTCTCACTGTACACACACGCATCTGGGAAGTAAACACTTCCCCACATTTAAAGAGAACACGAAGGCTTAAGAGAGGTGAAGTGATGTGCAGGGCAAATATCCAGCTAGGCAAGGAGGCCCGGTTCCAAATCCTGTCTCCCATGGCAACAGGCGGCCTGTTCACACTACAGTATGAAGCCGCACACTGGACAACTGTCTCATACTCAGCATCCCCAGGCGGACAAAAGGTTTAACTGTCAGAAAGGAGCACCTGGGATTCCCAAGAAAAGAAGGGGGGGGG